CATTCTAATGTTGTTCATTTCTTCAACAGAACAAAGATAATGCACAATAAAGCCACAACACCACAACCACACAGAAGTACCAAGACCTTCTGTAATGCTACTACAACCTTAGTTGTGCCCACTAACATAGAAAGCACATTCTTGACATCTCCATCTTCCTCCTCGGGTTTCAGCAAGCCTTCAACCTCAGCCTCATCTTGTACATCTTGAATCTACTCTCCTTTTTCTTGCGCACATTTTAGCCTACCCAATAGATCCACGTAGTCTATTTCCCAGTAGAAAAATGGGCAACCACGTCCTTCCCTCTGACAAGAAAGAACAATAGAAGGCATTAAACTCCAAGGCGACTGAACTACTGGCAAATCAAGATTGAAGCAATACCTGATGATAGGGGCATACGAAGAAGATGCGGTTTGGATTCAATATCGTGGTTGATAGGCACTCAACCACCTCAGCCTTCCCACACTCATTGCACCAGATCAGGGGGAGGTCCGACCTCAACCTTGGTCGCTGCTTCCTAGAGCTTGAGGTCGAAGGGGCAGCCATGGCATCCTGGTGCCTAGTGGAGAAGAATGAGAATGGGGAAAGAGAGTGGGGCTGAGGAAACGAGGAACACATACATAAAAAGGAGGGAGAGAGCAATATGGACAGGGGAAGACTGTAAAACAACCAACAAAATGGTGGGAGATTTCCCTCCCTTTCTACCTACATGCCAGCGTGGCAGTCCAGGCTAGACAAAACAGCCTCTCAAACCCGGTTTTGGATGTAAATGATACATTTAGCGAGTTAAAGGACCTGTAAACATGGTTTCCTAAGTACATGGACCTAGATGACATTGCGGAACAAGTTCAAGGACCTACAGTGGATTTTACTCATCATTTTTTTCTATTTCTATTTTCTTTAAGGAACCATGGTTGAACTTAAGGTGTGTTTGGTATAGTTTCCTAAGCAGCTTCAATTTGTGTGCCACGCCAATGAAATGGCCTTCGCAGAAACAACTTAGGGCGTGAAGCTCCTGAAGTCGCGATAACTAGAGTCTCATGGGTGGAGGTGGAGCAAAAAAAACAAGCTTCACTTGGTTCCAACCTGCAGGGCAATATGGAGATGACCTTTGTGCTCGTGGGTAGCAATGGCTCGTGACCACGCATTCAACAACGGTCAAGGCTAAGACGGAGTTTTCAGTAGACGGCGGTCAGTCTTGAGCGGGAGGCCAAGACAAGGTGCGATAATAGGACAGAGACGGGAGGGCAGCGGAGGGGCAAGCCGTGGGTATGTGAGCGCGGTGTGGTAAGTGAGGTGGGTGAGTGCGGTAGGGGAGATGAGGCGGCGAGGGAGATGAGGCCGGTGAGAAAGCACGACAGATTTGGTGGGTGTGAGAGAGATAGAAATGGTAGAGGAAGAGATAAACGGGAGGAGAAATTAAAAAAAACTATTAAAGGAGCAATAAATAAAGGAAGAAAAAGGATGGAAAAAGAAAGAGAAAAATTGAAGAGCATAATGGGCATTTCATCCATTTTATCTACTAGAAGTTTTAACAAACAATTTTCTAATTAGTGAAGTTGGAGCTAGAAAAAGCTATTTCATCAAAGAGGTGACAGCTGAAGTTGTTTTAGTTAGAGTTAGAGTTATACCATACGGCCTCTTATTGTTTACTGAACAACTAGGATGTTTGAATCCTATAAACAACAATAAATAAAAGTTATATGACCATTTTGAACTTGATGTGCAATGAAGTTTAATTTACTACATAGGACTAGACTTTACTATTATGGCTTTCAAAAGTATATGCTTATAAGCGAGACACTTGGAAAAAGCCACAAATCCATACTACAAGTAGGATAGAGAAAACAACAATTGCCAATAATAGCTAAGTGGTGATCAATAAATAAAACCTTGTGATTTCGGATTGATCCTCCATTTTTTTAGTAGTTCTGAGGATGTTTCCACAATCCACTATTTATAATGTTAATGAATAGAAAAAATATGAAACAGATTGATCGAAACAAATAGGAGAGAAAACTAGCAAGCTAGGACTTTGGTAGTGTGTATCTAGATTGATGAATTAATAAAAAAGTATATAAGAATAAGTTCAAGTATCAACCTATGAATTTTGAACATCCGAAAAGTTATTTGAATTTCATTGTAACTTTTAAAATGCCTCTCTTGGTTTTAGAAGATGAAATAGTTCTAAAGGAAAGAAACATGAATAATTACTGAGCATAATTTAGTAAAGACTTTTTGAAGTAATTTCTATATACATCCTAAGACTTACTCTTAATAACATAGAAATGATGTTAGTATGGAAGTTTAAAATTGACTCTATTGGTTTTAGAAGATGAAATATTTTTCGAAGGAAAGAAACATGAGCAATTACTAATCGTAGTTTAGTTTTGAAATTTTGAAGCAATTTCCAAATATATCCTAGGAGTTGCTCTTAATATACAAATGATGTTAGTATATGAAATCAATTGCATAAACCAATATAGTAGGAATTATAAAAAAAGTATAATATTATTAACAACAAAAGAATCACGTTTACATGAAACAACGCAAGCAAAATATAGAAATTCCAAGATTTTCCTTATTTTGAAAAGTATGCCTAAATAGTTTGACTAAATGCAACTTAAAACAAATACTTTTAGGAAATAAATTGCTAGACTTGTCACATCAACTTGGAATGTAGATAAAAACGAAATGCATAGCATGGGCAAAAAGAAAAAAAAATCTCCTAGTTTTCTCTAAACCTTGAGGGAATCACCATGTCTACAATGTGGTGTGTAGTAGATGCACCAGAGCTTGACGCCATCCTCGCCTCGGTCTAGCTACCATAGACAACAAGGTTGTCAAAATCTTGACCCTAAATCAGATCGGAACTTTGATGGTACTGTGATAGGACTGTAACTAATATGATCGTACAATCATAAAATCTACTTATTAGAATTGTGGAATCAACCCAATAAACTTAGATCATAAAGTCACAAAAATAACATTATAGAACCATTGTTTTCATAACTATGACAAACACTCTAAAATTGTCGTGTTATGGTCAACCCCTTTTTCAAAACTCTGCTTCCCTACCATTTAATAAATAGTATCGATAGTGACGTTTCCCCCTGTTCCGGCTGTTGTTTCCTCATTAACCTAGCACCGCACCCTATATATCATCGATACTCCTCAACCATATTGTAGGTTGTCATCCGGTTGTCATATACTTCTCTTATAAGGAACCAATGTCTAGAACCGCTCTGTTCTTCAGCATTACTTCAGTAGTACTTTTAAACGAACAAACGGTGTTTTTTCCTCAAAACAAATTAACATAAGCATCAGCATAAGCCAAATTTCAGCGAAAACTTAGTTGGTCCTCATTCTCATTTAGTAGATCTAACAGTGCTTTCAAAATTTTCTACTATTTTTTTAATCTCAAAATAAATTAATAATCCACAAGCTATTATTGTCACTGTATGAAATTAACGAAATTTCAAATATATAACAATAAACTGAACCCATTGATAATTTTGCAACGACTGAGAAATAATTTGAATTTTATGTATCTTTCAAAATGCCTCTTTGCTTTTTAGGTGATTAAAATTAAACATTTTTGGTAAGGAAATAAAAATAAACGTAGGAAGCGACATCCTGGTATTTCGAGGGTTATTCTTAATTTTGAATTAGATGAAAGATAAGAAAAGCATGAGATCACGAACAGCAAAAGAATACCTTTATCATTAACATCCAGCTATTTACACAAAGAGAAGCCTTGTGTGCACTCAAACAATACAAGCACGATATTGAATTACAGGATTTTTCTTTCTTGTAAAAATCTCTGCCTACATAGTTTATCTGCATGTAAATTAAAACAAAACACTTTTGGGAAATATAAATAGCTTGTTTTTTTTAAATCAAGCTGAAACTAATAAAAATAAAGAAAATGAGTAGCATGGGCTCAAAACCCCTCTCACTGCTCGCTCGCACACACCCACCCCACCCCACCCTGCATTCCTTCTTGAGTGGGCCAACCGGAGCATCACGCCATCCTCTCCTCGGCCCAGTTAATGTAGTCATGCAGACATCCTAAATTGTCCCATCTGGTCAGCGTCTCCTTTAAACTGTTGCTTCTGGTTATTTAAGCAGTAGCTCCAGTGACGTTTCCCCCACATTTATTTCACGCGTTCTATCTGGCACCAGTAGGAACTACCGTAGATCATCATCCAGTTGCCGTATACCTCTTCTGTTTTGGCTGTCTAGGGCCTATTCGGAGCCGGCTGAAACTGTTTTGTGGTGAGAAAAAAATACTGTAGATTCTAGCAGATAAGCCGGCTGATAAGCTCAAGCGAAAAGACCCCTAGTTGATGTAAGTTAGCCTATTGGCCTTGATGGGGGCATTTTTTTTTTTCTCGATCGTACCATTATGATGGTACGTTTTTCATTAAAAGAAAGTAGAGTTTAACGGTACAAGGACACCCAAGTAATTCTAAGATTACCACAGTGGTCCCCAAGACACACAACAGCAAAAGAAAGAAAAACAAGAGAAAAAAAGGTACATAGGCCCAGTGCCTCGACACCCTGACAGACTGAGAACCTGTGAAAGAAGACAACAACAGAACCTGTGAAAGAAGATAGCAACGCAATGGTAACCAACATGACTTTTTTTTTGTCATATAAACTATTTCCTCTTGATAAATTCATGCTTAAGTATATATAAGTTAAGTGAAAAAAATAGTGCACTCTAAACTTTGATCCGGACCCAACGTTGGTCTCGTGGTGAAATCAAATATTATCCCTCTCAATCTCAACCCAACGTTGGTCTCATGGTGAAATCGAAAATCGTCCTTACAGACCTGCAAATTTTTTTTACTTGCACTTCAATCCACCTCAATCTACATGCATTAGGGTAGATTGAGGTGAAAAATTAACTATAAGAGAAAGAGAAATAGAGACGGGACGTCGTGTTACTTCACTTCTGCTATCAGGCACATGACATCTGATTGTGCATAGGCGTCTCAAGAGAAATGGAGCAGCCATGGAAGAGACTGCCCAAGAGCAATAAGGTTGCGCACTTTGGCCAACCAATTGTTCAAGAGCAACTTAGACTCTGTTCCTAATCTGGTGAACCGTGATTCCTCTGAGACCATGGTTCAATACTTCAATGGAAGTTAATTCCATCTGAGAAAGAACAGATACTTCGAAACATATAGTAACTGAAGACACCATGGCAACTATACCAAAGCATTTTGAGAATCCAGAAACATAGCATCAATATGAAGACTACCAGAACATTATACGAGAAAGCATAACAGAACAAGGCTACAACCTAACACAGAAAGGAAATCTGACATGCCCTTATAAGACGCATCCGAAACAATGGATTCTGATTGCTGTTCTGGTGTTTTTACTTCTTACAAACAAATCGAGCCTCGATAGCTTCAGTCTTCACAGCACCACAGATTGGACATGCCGCAAGCCAGGCTCCGCACGGCTTGCATGCACAGAGGTGTTGGCATGGTAACACAAGCATACAGGCATTACCAGAGTTGCAAGCCTTACAGATCAGATTGGGCTGTGTTGTCTCCACTGCTGTTCTCGCCATGCTCGATGCTTCACCTCTATAACTTGGAGCATCTAGATCATTAGATGAAACATGCGAATTCGCTTCCAGCTGCACGATACGAAGCATACGGATAAGTGTCTGATTAATTTCATATGCAGCCATAGCGACCTTCATCCACTCATCTCTATCATGTAGTGTTGTTTCTAGATCCTCTTGCTTCTTCTGCAGCTCTATTCTCAGGCTGGCTATCTCATCATGTTTTTGCATCAGCACATCTCTTGTCACAGATTCCACATGGTTCAGAAGAATTGCGTTCTGCATAGATATTTGCTGCTGCAGTGACACCCGCAACTGTTCGTTCTGATTTTTTTCAAGAAAAAAAATGAAATAAGGAGCATATGTTAGACAACATCAGGGTAAAATTCAGAACCAAAATGGTGGGCAAATAAACACTTACATGGAGTTGAAGGACCTGATCCAACTGCAGCCTGTGCTGCTCAAGGGAGAACCAAAATGATGACAGATTTGTGTGCTGTTGGCCAATCATATGACTATCTAAGACCTGACCTGTTGGTAAAGCGAAAGAAAGGGCATTTGCTTGTGGCCCATGAGGTTGATCAGCATATTCAGAATGGGTTTTGAGGTTGTCCATTGCAGACACCTGAGTACCTGACAGTGTCTCCGATACTTGTTCGAAGTTTAGTGCAAAGGATACCTCCTTATATAGAAAAAAAGGGATTCGAGGTGCATAATCAATACTAGTGACTCCCCTAGTCCCCTATCCCTTGAGAAAGATGTATGCTATCTCTACTCATTTATTTAGCTGAAGTGTTCATGAACGTCAGCTGTCTAGGTAGATTTTTACCTGTCCTATTCACTGCCAAAGATACATCTCCACGGAAGTTTTTGTTCAACTCAAGGTCAGTCAAGCTTACCATTGATAACCTTGTGACGTTTGTCCCATAAATGCTTGTCTTATGTATTTAATAAGAGATACACTCCTTCCATCCAAATAAATTGCTACTTATTTGGTAGAGGATTATATAGCCCAAAGGCTGGCACTAGCCAAATAATACAGGATGTATTAAACACTAGTATCCTTTGTTTAGTATCTATTAACCTTAACTAAAACTGAAGTTTGAAAATTGTTGAGATTTTTTTTTCTGGAACACGTAGGAGAGCAATGTATCCGTTTGTTAAAAAAGAGGAAATGTACAAACCCTAACTTCAAACAAATACTCAGCCGGTGGGGAAAGACCGCCCCATGGTATTGCACTACGAAGCTTTCAGTCAAACCGACCGAGAAACCCGTGATCCCATGCCTCACCCTATAAGGCCGAAAACTTACAATGATCTTCTGGGCTAGCGACTGCTGCAACTACCCCCTGGTAGGAGAGACAAACCAGCCATAAGTGCCGACAAAATTCTTGAGATTGTTTGTAGATTCCTTGGCGAACATCTGGGCAACGATCTTTTACGAGTCCTCCTCATGATTACCAAGGAGCAATCTTTATCCAAAAATCAGAATCGGAATCAAATAAAAATAAAACTCGGCCGGTGGGGGTAAAGCCGCCCCCACGACATTAGCGTTAGAAGAAATTCTCTTCCTAGCCCGGTCGAGAAAACCCCCCGACGGCTGGCTGCTTGAACACGCCATAGGGTGCTCAGGCCACGTGGGCCACGTGCATATCTCTGAAGACACCACAGTGGTACGTGTATAACTTCAAACAGTCGACAAGGGTTTTTTTTACCCCTAGCCTAAAATTTGTTCCCACGGAGAGTCGAACTCAGGACCTAGGTGTGCCACTGGAAAGCTCTAACCACCAGGGCTAGAGTCCTTTGGCAATCAGAATCAAATAAAAGGGAGAAAATTATCCAGAAGTAACTGAAGATGGAATTTAGGCCTTGACAAATGGAGAAACACAGGGTTTCCATGGGGCAAATTTGGTAGTCCCCAAGAAAAAAGCTTGGTAGGCTGACTTGCTGCTGTAGGAATCAGAAGAGCAGAGTTTCCATCGGTGTTGATCTAGGACATCTTGCTGAAGGACCAGGCCATCTACTAAATCCCAAATTTGACGGTCTCCACCAATACTTGCACTGTAAGGGCCTCATATCAGCCACCCAACCCCGAACAAGGTGTCAATCAAAACAGAAAGTAGCGAACACAACTTAATCAAAATATATATTGATCACAACATTTTAATAAAGATGGATTAGTTAGATTTAGAGTACACAGTAGAGAAGAGCAAGACATGAACTGCTTAGGCGCGAGTTCTACATGACAACTAGAACCATGAGCCACTAAGTGAAACTTAATCTATTTTTAAACCGCACAACAGAACAAGCGACCATGTTGCACTCCAATGGCAATATGATTAGTAGGGGTGAAAGTGGGTACACATTAGGTAATTCTAGAAGGCTATCATTTTTGTTCCACCTTTTCTTGCTCCGAAATACAGATTAGTTTTGTGTCAAATGAATGACCGAGAGAAATAAAAACTTTGCATGCCTAAGAGCATCTCCAAGAGTTCCCTAAACATCCTCATAATTCTTGTTTTTTAGAAAGATGAAAAAAAACCCTCTCCAACATCTCCTAATATTTACTCATAATCTTTTAGGACTTGGAAAATTTCTCCCCTTTCCGCGTAACTTTACGTGGACGAAGCCACGCGCAGAGACGCCGCGTAACTTTACCGGCACCGATATTGGATAAGAGCGCGCGCGCGGCCACACAATGTGTAGCAGCTCGCTAGCTATATATGCTTGCTATGCTAGGTAGCCAATGAAGTGCTCAGGCCGGCGTGGATACGCGCGGAGACGGAGAGGTTCGCGTGGAAAAAAAGAAGACTGTAGAAAAAAAATGTCAAATGGGATCATCATTTGATTTTTTAGAAGTCAAATATTATGAAGTATTGGAGATGAATTTCTTTTTTTCTCCTAAAACCTTTTTAGGAGTTAGCAAACATAGATTTTTTAGAAGTAATATTTAGGGAACTCTTGGAGATGCTCTCATCGAGAAAATCCAAGTGGGGTGGAAGTGCAATCCCACCTTATTTTACATTTGGGAAAGGGTATGAATGGCGCCAGGCCAAAATGACCAGGCATTACATAGGCTACATACTACCAGCTCGATCAGTGTCTGATGGGTGGCAGGGGAAACAAAAGAAAACAAGGGAGGGGCAAAGAAGAAACGTTATGGTGTTACATGAGGGAGAAATCAAGCAGCAGGGTGACCTTTCTAATGATTAGTCAACATCGATTCAATTTTCTACACCAGATAAAATTTCTCTTAGTGGTTCAAATTTTGCTCCAGCTTATGTTGAGGTGCTTCAAATACATCGTCAGATACTCTGTCATCATCCACAAAAAAATACTAACATTCACAATCAAATTAGATATGAAAAATAGGTTAATAGAGAACATAACATCCCCTGTTGAACTTAAAGTCTCTACCTCCCTCTGTCCACGGGTAAGGTGATGTGGATACAGGAGGGTGTAGGTAAGAAAACCCAGGGGCATAATTATTCAAAGATTATACAATCAGAACTCAGAAGAAAGAGTAATTTTCAGTGTTATTAAACTAAAGTTCACAGTTTCAGTTAAGTGATATTTTCGGAAAGAGTGCATCTTTTAGAGTTCAATGTAATATTTTATGGAGTGAGCAATAATATTTAACTACTATTCCATTATATTATTGAAGCTGTTCCTTGATCACAAATCGATAAGTTATGGAATATGATGCATACAATTTAGACCACAACCAGCATAACACATAACATACTAGAAGCATACCCCGCGTGTTGCCGCGGGATTTTCTTTAAAATAAATCTGTTATATACATAGCATTATTAATATATGGTATTTCGTATGTTGTGTATATATATGAATTTGACTTGCATGTTATTTTATTATATCAGATCTAGTAAAAAATCAGTAAGCTAATAGAAGAAAAACTAATAAAATATTTGATTACATTATAGAGAAATAGGTGATGAAACAAATATCGTATGTAGATGACTTGTTAATACATAGATTAAAGATTAAAAGTATTGCACATGATAGAGATGACGTGGATATTTTTTTAATTAATAAGGGATGACATGTACTTAGTGGGAAATGATGTGGACACCTTACATGGAGAGAAAAATCCTCTAGTAGGGTTTAACTTTATAAGAGTATATAGATTTCCAAACGGTCTAGTGAAGTTGGAGCAAAATTAGAGAACAAATAGTAATTTCAGTTATGTTGCAAAAAAAAAAGTGTGGTAACCACAGCCCACCGATATAATCATTTTAACAAGGCAAAAATTATAGTGGGACACTTATATAAATAATGACTGTTACTTAAAGACACTGTTATGGTTCAGAACATCATTGGTGTCCTATAGCAAAACTTCCAAATTTTTATTTTATTTGTTGTAGGACACTGATCAAATGTACTCAATGTGATAGTGTTCGATGGCCAATTTACACTAACAGTGCTCTTGAGAAACATCCGCAAAAAAGGAGTGCTCACAGCAAACTATTAACATTCAGATCACACACTCATTTCATTTTCATAACAGAACTGTAAGCCAGGACAGCAATTGGTGTAACATGGAAACCATTAAGTGAACTCCGTTTACAGGTAAACGAAAATACGTAGCTAAGTTCGTAGAAATTCAACTACTGCATCATTTAACAATTAACTGGTAGTACTGCTCACCTGATCAATACAAAACCAGATGATAGCACAACATTTAGCTAGCCACCGATCAATAGTTCGAACATCATGATTTCGACTATGCGAAAGAGTCCACATGCAGCCACGGTTCAGTACCTTCTCAACCTACTCAACAGAGTAATAATACAATAATGATTAGCAGTTTAAAAGAACACAACCCTATGCTTTTGGCGTTTGAAATTGCGGGATTTCTTCTCTTAGAGTCCAAGGCGTAAGTGTGTGGTGTTGTATGGGGTTTCTTTCCCCTTTTTATTCTTCTTAATATAATGATACTCAGTTCTCCTGTGTTCGAGAAAATAAGAAATTGTGGGATTTCAGTTCACCCGGTGTGTTTGTCTATGTGGCAGGGGTGGCGGTGTCAGTCTTTTTTTTTTATCACGGCGGTGTCAGTCTTAGAGGAAGGACGCGGTTACGGCGCGACCCGTCGCACGTAAAGGTAGCGCGCGACCCACTTCGACATGCAACGGGCTGCATGCGCCCTCGACCAACACTGCTGCCTGCCTGCCACTTTCAGCGTGTGGTCCCAGGTGGCTGACGCAAATAAAAAAAACGAAACAATTTTTTTTAATTGCTATAACTTTTGAACGTTGTATCCATTTTAAATTTCATCTGCATCGGTGTGTTCTACGTGACGAGACAAAGAAAAGCTAGACCCCACTTGCATATGTTCCTAAAAAAATTATTTTAGTAGTAGTTTGTATATAAAAATGTGCTAGGAGATTTATCAAGGAGTTACTACCATATAATACTAAGGGGCTCTTGCATCCATACCCCTATTTATATCAATATTGTGATTTTACCCATGTGCTTTTAACTTTGTGAATTTGCCCCTGCTTATTCAAAACGAAGCACCACTTTGCCCCTATTCCGTCATCCTCCCCTAATGGTGTTAACTTTTGTACCAAAGGACAAATATGCCCTTGTGATTTT